AGCCTGAAGACTTGAGTTCAATTCCTCAGAGCCCACATGGTAGGAGAGAACTGAGTCCTGCAAGCTGCCCTCTGAACTCCATATGTGGTCACACCACCACTCACACACACAGAAATTAATGAATTAATTATTAATTTAAAATATGTAGGATGGCATGTAGGGTAGAAAATTATAAAACTGTAACATTAGAATAGACTAAAACAAGTACAGGTATTTATTGACAGTTTCTATACATGGACTTCCTACTGGAAGTTACTAGAAGCAATTCAATAATTAGTCATCAGAGAACAGGGTGCCTGACAGGCTGTGTCACTGTTCCTGTGAGAAGCTCGGCATAGTGCACACGCCCACACAAGCTACTCTATGAGAATCCTGTGTAAGTCAGATGCAAGTCTGGTTGTGTGACATCTGGAAATGGTTTCCTTGACCATTAAGGACTGCAGTGCTTCAATCCCATCAAGAAATGGTGCAGCCAACTGCCTAGATGGTCAGGTTGGTCCCTGAAAGCCTTTGGAAGAAGCAAACCCATAAGAGAAAAGAGCTAACCAGAGTCACAAGGGATTGCCATGACATGTCTACATCTGACATTCTGAAAAGGTCATGCCAATAATATTCCAATTTACTAAGTACAGACTCCTAGACTGGAAAGACCATTTACAGCATTACGAGACTATAAATAAAATCACCATGAAAAATAAGTTTGCAATTGAACAAAGGGATATTATGGCCCTGATAACTATAATTCTGTGACAGTCTATTAATGGTTAATAACAGTTTCAAGAGCCAGTATTACACTACTCAGAAATAATTGTATGAAATGGCTCTACTTTCTCTCTCTCTCTCTTTATATACATATATATATATATATATGAAACATTTAAATCTTCAGAAATCTTTGATTAAATAATTATGGGAAAGAAAAACTAAAAAGAAGGAAAGATTAAAAGAGCAAGATCTAGACACACATTAAGGAAAATCTGGGGCCAACTATCAGCTCCTTCTGGTTCCTGGACTGAAACAATTTAAAAGTAAAACTAAAAACTCCTAGTCCTGGTTTAGTGACTAAGTAAAAGAATAAAACACATAAAGACTTCCAAAAGGAAAAGAAAAAAATGATACAGAAATTGAAAAAGTAAAGCTAATCCATGTGCTTTGGGTTAATTCAATTAAATGGAATCAGTCAGACTGGGGCATCAGTTGGAACAAATGGCTGCAGACAGGATGTGGAAGGTGTTCATTTCTCTTCTCATCCCCTTCCTCCAAGTCTCGCTCCCCAGAAGCCACCAGAGAAGATGTGGTGGGAAGACCAGGGAGAACTCAGGAGGAAGAAAAGGGTGATGGAAGCCAGGGAAACAGCTGAAAACCAGGATTAGAAGGTGTATTAGACTATGTAAATGGGCTGCCAAGAGCAACATGTCAGCACCCTGACTACGGGGGTTCAAGGCAGGGACCCTCTGACGGGTTTCCCCACACACACTGACAGTACACGTGTAGACCTTGGCACAGGCAAGGACTGGGTGGCTTTTCACTCTCAAATGCCACAGGGTTTCAGGCCCTTAGATGGTTCTAGAAGATTACCAACAGCATCACCAAATCACCTTACCTAGGGAAGGTGCCAGGCTCACCCGGGTCACTGAGAGCTGTACAACCAGCTGGAGAACAAATCAAACTGGCGGTACAGCCAAAACTGAGGGATACGCTGAGGGAGAGAGTCAGCAAGCAGGACTGGGGGCTGTAGACTGAACAAGGAGACAGGAGGTAAGTTCTCTGCCCCAGAACTTGGCTGCTGGTGCCTGAAAGCTCAAAGACGCTACAGCACATGAGACGTGAGCAGAAACTCGAGGAACCAGAAGCACAGTTCCTCACTTTTCCCCGCAACAATACAGAGACCTCAAAACACGTTACAGCCCTCTTTGTCATCAGCTGTCATCGACAGTCATCATGCACTTGAATCTGATAATGTATGAAAGTGTCCACTAGCAGAAAGAGAATGAGACAGAAGACCCGTCTCAGTGTATTCAGAAAACACATTTAATAAAATGCAACACTCATTCATGACTAGAAACAAAACTAAAACAAAACTGAACAAAAAGTAACTGGGGAGAAAAAGAGAAAATATTTGTTAATAAAACTCTCTCCAAAACTTCTCTGGAAAATCTTAGTGTCCAATGATTAATGCTGGTTAAAGCCAGATCATCACACTCAAGTACTGACGTTGACAAAGCTAAACTAGGAAGCTGGTTGGGAGCAGGGCCAGAACACTGGCAATACTGGGTTCTCGGGCTGTGTGCCAATCTGCAACAACTTGGCTGCTCCAGACCTTGGGTACCACAAGTTTATCCTGAGACAGTCTGATCTGAGATGAGAAAGAGGGGGTTGTGTTTGATATCGTTATAGGAGCCTCGAAGAGCTACCAGAGGGTTCTACTCTGATGAAACTCTTAATCTAAAGAGCCTGTTTAGAAATACAAATACATAAATAACAGTAGACAATATCTGTGTTAGTTCTGATTTCAAAAATAAAAGAAATACTGCTAATCTCAATAATTTAGACTTAAAACTGGTTGTGGTCACACTACTGAAAACATCTCAGATTTTGGTAATTCTAGTTGTTTGCTATCTTGCTGGATATTTTCTCTGTACAATAGTAGCTATAACTACCCAACTCGGTCTCTTATAAATGCAAAGAAAAAAAAAGATAAAATTGTGTTAGCTTACATATAAAAATGTTTTAATTTTTGTTTTTTTTGGGGGGGTCTTTTTGAGACAGGGTCTCCCTGCATATTTTTAAAGATTTTTAAATTTTATGTATATACGTGTTTTGCCTGTATGTAGGTACATGATATGTGTGCAGTGCCCTTAGAGGCCAGAAGAGGGCAGCAGAGCCACCATGTGGGCACTGGGAACCTGACTTAGGCCCTCTGCAAGAGCAGCAAGTGTTCTTAACTACTGAGTTATGTATCCAGCCCCCATGAAAATGAATCTTTAAATGTTAGATTTATTGGTATTTCCAGGGATTTTTAACTTATCAAAAGCAAAGTACACTAAAAATCAGATTAATAATGTGGTGATGATGAGTGTATCCACCTGACACTGTGATAAGAAAAGATGAGGCCTATGAGATCTCAGAAATGTCTGCAATGGCTTTCTGATGTTAAAAAAAGTTGTGACATACAGGGCTGGAGAGATGGTTCATCAGGTAAGAGCACTGACTGTTCTTGCAGGGGATCCAGGTTCAAATCCCAGCACCCATGTGAAAGCTAGCAACCTTCTCTAACTCCAGTTTCAGAGTATATAACACCCCCTTCCTGACCTCTACAGGCACTGCACGACATGGGTGGACTTACATACGTGCAAGTAAAACACTCACACACACAAAATAAAAATAAATTATTTTTATTGTGACAGAAAATTTTAAACTTCACTGATTTTATGAATCAAAATGGGTATTAACATCACTAAAACGCTTTGCATCTACAATACTTTTCATTACCACAAAATACTAATTTGATAAAATATATTGACCAGGACTAACTTGTGGTAGCACATGTAGGATTTTCCTTAGAAAAGCCAAATACTATATTAAAGCTTTTAGAACGCAGGACATTTTCCCTTTAAGTATAAATGGCTACGTAATTGTTAATGTTCGGCCATGGTGACGCTCTAAATATATCACACTTATCCACAGCAGAAAGGAAGGAAATTATTGGAGTCACTAATGAAAGGAAATACTGCATTTGTCTTGGAGAGAATTGCTATCAATTTCATTCAAATAATAAGCCGTGGTGATATTAAGGATGTGGATGAACACCTTTCAGGGACTATGGTGTTTATTTTTGCTACACAAAACTTGGGATCTCTGTAGCCTAATTGCTAGTTACTTTTCTTCCTGTTTTTATCAGATGGTAAGTATTACTGACGAAGTGAGCTAAAATCTGTTTTAAAGAAAGTGCCCTTAACTGTAAAATGGACAGGAAACATAACTTGCAGCCTCATTCGCACTGACGTCCTGACGTTACTACCAATGAAACAATGCTCTCACATCACATTAGCGTTCATGGAGCTTTCTAGACTGTTGATACTCCTTACCCAAACTGTAACATTGCTAGATGGCATTACTTCACACATTAATAAGCAAGTATGTGTTGATACATCACAAATGAGCACTGTATTTTGATTAATATTTGAATAATAATTGACTTCCATTTTAAGGATATAAATGATGCTGCATATTTAACATTATTGTACTGACAAAAGATTCTGGTATACTGCTTAAGCCGGTTTTTAAAAATATTTTATTTATTATTTTTATGTGTATGAGTGTATTGCCTGCATGTGTGTAAGTGCACCCCTGTCCCGAGCAATGCCCGGGGAGGTCAGAAGAGGGCGTCGGACTCCCTGAAACTGGAACGATAGCTGCCATATGGATGCTGGGTCTCCAACTCAGGTCCTCTGTATATTAAGCCAGTTCTCTTAACCCACGAGCCATCTCTCCAGTCCCTTTAGTAGTTTTTTATTTAAAAAGTTAAGAATCTCTGTTTTAAAGACGAAAAACAGGTCTAACATTTTCTTTCATTTCTTCTCTCCAGTCAACTCTAAAAATCTCTTACTCTGGTCTTTTCTCGTTTGCACTAGCAAACATCTTCATGGCTGTATCCTACCTTTTCTCTCCGCACTTCACAAACAAATGCTCATCTGCAAGCTCCTCACAACCCAAACTTCCTTTCCAAATCTTGCCAAAGTGAATCTTTTAGCTTCGTGTATCCTCAGTACTCTTCCCTTCTTTTTACTTTCCAGATCCTTTACAAAATATAAAGTGATTTGGGGGGATTGTGCATCAACAGGTGCCCAGCCGACACCCTGACCGTCACTGCGCATGTGACGCTGATGAAAGCCCCTCTCGCAGCCCCTGGCCTGGGCTCACCAGGATGTGGACCCTCTGGTGGTCGTCCTCCTGGAAACCACCCCGCCCGGCTCCCCGGATGCCAGGAAAGCACTCACCAGTCCCCCGCACAGGCTGAAGACGGCGGTGTGGTCCTCGCGCGCATTGACCTGGCCGCGGTAGAAGCAGTGGCGCAGGTCTGGGGGCTCCGCGCTGCGGCCCGCGGCCCCGCGCGCAGGGGTCCCCAAGTGCACCTCAGTGTAGCCGGGGGCCAGGAAGGCGGCATCGGCGCTCAGGTTCAGCTGGAAGAGCTGCCCGTAGGCGAGGATGCGGTAGTGCGTCCGGAACGGCGCGGACTCCGGCGCCCCAGAGCTGCGCTTCCTGCGGCTGAAGTGCCGGTCCTGCGGGAACACGTCTCCGAACTCATTGACCCGCGCCGGGGTCACCACTTCGTAGGACGCCAGAGTCCTCACCAGGGCTTCTGCAAACACGGCGAGAGCGCCATGAAGCCCCAAGTCCCCCGCCCAGCATCTTCACTAAGGGGCCCGGTGATGCGCCACCGCGGGGCGGGATGGATGCTCACGCACACCCGGGACACTACGCTCCGCGCCCGGATCTGCTCCACCCTCCGCAAGCGAAGACCGTGCCCCGCGCGGCCCTGGGCGGCCACCTCTGGCCCGGACCCCCTCCTCCGCCCCGCCGCCAGCACCGCGTCCTCCGGGTGCTCGCTCCTGTTCGCCCCACGCGCGCCCTCCGCGTGGCGAGTCGTGTCCCCAGCGCGTTCGGCGCCTCTCACCCAGGCGCGGCCCCAGGGATGCGGGGGGAGTCCAGATGCCCACCGAGCCGCCCTCCCCGTCCGCCCCCTCGGGTCCCGCGCCCACGCGCGCCCGACCGCTACCTCACCTTGCCTGGGGTGGAAAAGAGCTTCCCAAGACCCGGCGAAGAGGAGCGAGAGCGGCCAGAGCAGCCGGGCCAGGCACTCGACCACCCGCATGGCTGCGCGCTGGGAGGCCGCCCAGAGCCCCGGGAGCCTCAGCCGCGTCGGAGGCAGCCGGG